TGGTGGGGGGGGGGGGCAATTGCCATTGCAATTGGAGCGCTTAGCTAAACGCTACCCTCAACGTGTTTTTGCAACGTTGAGCAATGTAACCAATCACAGACATATCTGTTGATTTCTCAAACGCAATGGCCAATCAGAAACGGTTTGTCAGAATTCACTCACCGCTGAAAGCGCCGCAGTTTTTAAGTGCAGTTTTGCACGCTTATGCATCATCTCATGACTAAGTGCAGACGCGATGTCAATAAGAGATTCATTGTGCAGTTTAGAGAGCTTCATTGATTATAAAATAACTTTGTAAGATCGCAATGAACGGAGATGAGTGACGCTTTTTAGGGTGCGGTCACACTTGGATCGCTTGCCTGGTCCAAACCAGAGTTCGATTGCTTCACCCCCTGCCCCCACTGGACTGCGTTCATATTATTTTATTTCCGTCCGAACCGCGGTTCGTTTGCGTCATCAAGCCAGCAGCTGTTTACCCCGTTGCTTCGGTTAGCTTCGGTATATAACGGCACTTACTGTATGTCTGTCTTACGAATGTACTGCAAATGCTCTAAAGAACGCTGAAGTGGAACAGAAATTAGATATACAGCTCTCTGTTTGCAGCGCGTCAGTCACGCTCGTCAGGAAAGTGAGTGAAACACACACAAACACACATTTTTATCAAATAATACGTCATTAATAGCGGTTCACTTCCGCGATTTGGTACGATTGCGTTCACATCAGCAGCAAACCGTACCCCAGATCACTCTTTTTAAGCGGGCTCGGGTACGGTTCGGGGGTGCGCACCCGAGTTCGGAAGACAGCATTCACATCATCCAAACGAACCGAACTCTGAAGTCAATCGAACCCGGGTGCCAAACGCGAGTTTTAAACAGTGTAGAGTAGCACTTGTTTGTTTGTTGTTTCTCCGATCACAAATGCAGACATGATTTTATGTTTATGCGGCGCGATACGCAACGCAAAGCGTAAAAACACAGTATAACTCAATATAATCCGTAATTATGTCCCCACTGGATGCAACAAATGCCTCATTTGTAATGTGTTTTATTGGTGTCTCGTCGTGCTGGGAGATGGCATCACAGTATGTTAAGGGCGTAACATTTCCGTCACACGCTTGGGGTATTCAGCCAATCCCCTGAATAAGAGTTAAACATACAAACGCAATTGCACAAACAGCACAATGATGGTAAATACTGTGCCATTTTCATTGCGTTTCATCTACTGAACCAAAGACTTCTGCGCAGATACAACTTCAGAGAGCACAATCATCAGAGGAAAACAAAACAAAAGCCATTTGACTTACCAACACGCCCTCGCCCGTCCCACCCCTTTTTTCTCCTCTGTTCCTGCCCTGGTGATTCCCCTTCAGATTCGAGTCATTGAAGTGTGGCAGTCGCAGTCTAGTGAGAGTCCATCTGGTTGCACCCCACACATCTGATTCTGGGGTGTTGACGCATCTGGCTGGCTGTACACATCAGAAGTCACGGGACAGGGAATGCTGCCCGACCTGTTCTGGCCCCCGGCGCTGCTCCATGAGAAAACAATGTGGTCTCATGAGTTGTCTGAAATGGGAGCGCAGGTAATTACAAACAGCTAATGACTGCAGACATGCGGCTACCTGTCCGACAGTTAAATTACAAGGTGGCTTACTGAAAAAAAACAAAAGCTGTCAACTCGGACATGCAAACTTTGAGATCCGGAAGGTGACACACTACCCACGGTCTTTTACAAGGCCCTTAGGTTCCTGTTCGTCCCCACCTGTATACACTCCTCAGTCAAATCAATGAGATAATTCTTCAGCTTTGTCATTTTAGTAGTTAGCAATAGTTAGTAATTTTTTTGGGCAAGTGCAGATGACAAACACCTGGCTTATTCATATGTATTTGTGATGTCATCAATTTTTCAACAATAATGTTCTTGTGAACTTTCAGAAAACGTTTGGATATGAAATGACTATTTAAAGCAAACTGAAAACTTCAGCAAACTTTTTTTTTAAATGACTAAATAATGTATATATACATTGTACATATTATTTTTGAATAAATACATAATATCATCACAGAAATATAGTTATTCATATATTCTTATATATAATATAATATATCTTATTCATATAAATCTTGGCAAAAAACAAAAATCAAAACAAATACTGCATGTCAACCATGTCAAGTCAGCTCCATTTATCATATGTGAGACAATAATTATGGGCTATAATTCAGTTCAGTCTCTTTGGCAGACATGGTATGTCTGTGTTATCATGTTTATTGACACAAGGATGTCTCGGTTCGAAGCTTTCAAAGAATCCACAGCTTTGCACCAAGTCATTTTGTTTATTCTTCCTCACAATCCTATCTTTTTGAAGTGCTCAACCAACATTATTTATAATGGGTGAATACTAATGGAAAACGCTAGTACTAATCTATCACCATCATGTCTATGTCAATAACAAAGAAACTGTTTTAAACAACTTTTTGAGAAAAGCGTCAATTAGCTGGTCTTA